CACCCAGAGGGGTGAGGGGGCCCTCGCTGGATTGATTAGCATAGTCTCCGCCCCCGTCCCCTCCTCCGACATATCTGGAAGAAGAGGATGAAGATCTCCGGAGTGATCGGCACTCTGACACTTCCTTGTATGGGATCAGCCGTGTTCTGTATGAAGGGATCTGGAGGGATCTTCTGGCCGCACAGAAGGAAGTGATCCCGGGAACTCACCAGCAGGAGCTCCTCTCTATGGCAGTAGCAGCCTGGCCGGCACGTCCTGTTGTCTCCTTCATCACCCAGATCAGCGCAGGAGGCGGGGCCATCACCGCAATCCTTCCATACCATCCCATCCGGACAGATCCCAGGATCCTCTCCTGCAAAGAGGACAACGAGAAGATCCAATATGACCCATTTAGACCAGGACATTCCATCACCAAACCAAGCAACAGAACATACCATAAGAACAGATCCAGTGATCCACTCCACATAAAACCAGATCTGATCCAGGGATCCACTCCACATATAACCGGAAACAGATCCCGAGATCCACTCCACATAAATCCAGAACAGATCCAGGAATCCACTCCACATATAACCGGGAACAGATCCCGGGATCCACTCCACATAAAGCCCGAACAGATCCAGGGATCCACTCCACATAAAACCAGATCTGATCCAGGGATCCACTCCACATATAACCAGAAACAGATCCCGGGATCCACTCCACATAAATCCAGAACAGATCCAGGAATCCACTCCACATATAACCGGGAACAGATCCCGGGATCCACTCCACATAAATCCAGAACAGATCCAGGGATCCACTCCACATAAAACCAGCTCTGATCCAGGGATCCACTCCACATATAACCGGAAACAGATCCCGGGATCCACTCCACATAAACCCCAGATCTGATCCAGGGATCCACTCCACATATAACCGGAAACAGGTCCCGGGATCCACTCCACATAAAACCAGATCTGATCCAGGGATCCACTCCACATATAACCGGGAACAGATCCCAGGATCCACTCCACATAAATCCAGAACAGATCCAGGAATCCACTCCACATAAAACCAGATCTGATCCAGGGATCCACTCCAAATATAACCGGAAGCAGATCCAGGGATCCACGCCACATAAAACCAGAACAGATCCAGGAATCCACTCCACATATTACCGGAACAGATCCAGGAATCCACTCCACATATTACCAGAACATATCCAAGGATCCACTCCACATATAACAAGAACAGAACCAGGGATCCACTCCACATATAACCAGAACAGATCCCGGGATCCACTCCACATATAACAATAACAGATCCCGGGATCCACTCCACATATAACAAGAACAGAACCAGGGATCCACTGTACACAAAACAAGAACAGATCCAGGTATCCACGCCAGAGAAAACCAGAACAGATCCCGGGATCCACTCCACATAAATCCGGAACAGATCCCGGGATCCACTCCACATAAATCCGGAACAGATCCCGGGATCCACTCCACATAAATCCGGAACAGATCCCGGGATCCGCTATGCACAGTTATCACGCAATGGTTCATACACAGATTTCTCACCAGCACACGGATGAAGATGACACGTGGAGAACTCAATACGGCGAAGGACGACGCTGACGCGGCTGCGGTTCCGGTATCCTCCCCCGCAGGGCACGGAACATTCTGACCAGAGCCCCCAATCCCCGGAGGAGCCTGCGCAGGAGGGAGACACTATCTCATCATCTGTATCCGGCATTACTAGAGAGAAGCCGAGGGACCATCATGCCTGGCGGACTCTGACCCCGCCCCCTGACCCCGCCCCCTGACCCACCTTTACATGGCTGCAAGCTGCAGAGCTCGATGGCCACGCTGGAGCCCTCACAAGTCCGTCCTCCGAAGGCTGCGGCTGGGTCGGTCCCGGATCGGTATCGGCGTCTGGTGCCAACATTACACGTACGGCTGCAGGAGCTCCACGAGGTCCAATCACTCCAACCGCAATCCACTGAACGTGAGGAAGATTAATACCCCG